GTATTTGGTCATGCCGTTTGGTCTCACCAATGCGCCCGCAGTTTTCCAATGCCTATAAATGACGTTCTCAAGGACATGATCAACAAATTTGTGTTTGTTTATTTGGATGATATCTTGATATTTTCCCCAGACCGAGACACTCATGTGCAGCACGTCAGAGCCGTATTGCAGCGTCTTCTCGAGAACCAGCTGTTCTGCAAGGCGGAGAAATGTGAGTTCCACACAACACAAACCAAGTTCCTTGGGCATGTGGTTTCTCCTGGTTCAGTGCAGATGGACGAGGCTAAGGTACAAGCTGTTCTCGATTGGCCTGTCCCCGCGGATCGTAAGCAACTCCAGCGCTTCTTGGGGTTTGCTAACTTCTACAGACGTTTCATCAAAGGGTTCAGTGGCGTGGCTGCACCTCTCCATAAACTCACCTCAGCTCAGGTACGTTTTGTCTGGGACGTTGGAGCCAATAGGGCTTTTACTGAGCTTAAAAGACGTTTCTCTACGGCTCCTATCCTGACACAGCCTGACCCCTCCAAACAGTTTATTGTGGAGGTCGATGCGTCTGAGTCTGGGGTGGGGGCCGTGTTGTCACAGAGAGGGTCTGATAACAAAGTTCATCCCTGCGCGTATTTCTCCTGCAAGCTCAATCCTGCAGAGAGAAACTACGACATAGGGAACAGAGAATTGCTAGCTGTTAAGCTAGCCCTTGATGAATGGCGCCACTGGCTGGAGGGTGCAAGACAGCCTTTTCTGGTGTGGACAGACCACAAGAACCTAGAGTACATTCGCACGGCTAAGCGACTTAATCCACGCCAAGCCCGGTGGGCTCTGTTTTTTGACCGTTTCAACTTCACCCTCTCTTATCGCCCTGGCAGCAAAAACATCAAACCTGACGCCTTGTCCCGACAATATCAGCAGGACTGCAGGTCGACAGAGGTCCTGGGTACCACCACCATCGTTCCTCCTGTCCTGGTACTTGGGGCTAACCGCTGGGCCTTGGAACGTAGGGTCAAGTCTGCAGTTTCAGGCACGGTCCCAATCCCTGATGGATGCCCCCCTAACTGCTTGTTTGTACCTTCGAGTCTACACCCCGCGGTGCTGAAGTGGGGGCACTCGTCACGCCTGGCTTGCCATCCCGGGATGACAAGGACCGCCTTCCTGGTGGCTCAGCGTTTCTGGTGGCCCACCATGTCCTCTGACATACGAGCTTTCGTCTCCTCGTGCCCTGTGTGTGCCAGTGCTAAAGTGCCCAGAACCCCTGCTGCAGGTCTCCTACAGCCTTTACCTATCCCCTCAAGACCATGGTCCCACATAGCCATGGACTTCATCACGGGTCTGCCCCGTTCAAGAGGTAACACTGTCATTCTGACTATCGTGGACAGGTTTTCGAAGTTGGTTCATGCTGTGCCCCTACAGAAACTGCCTTCGGCAAAACAACTGGCCGAGATAGTGGCACGACATGTGTTTCGACTGCACAGGCTTCCTGAGAACATTACCTCTGATCGGGGTCCACAGTTCGTGGCAGCATTCTGGAGGGAATTCTGCAAGCTCCTCGGGATAACGGTCAGTTTAAGTTCTGGTTTCCATCCTCAGACCAACGGGCAAGTGGAGCGGTTTAATCAGGACTTGGAGACCACCCTACGAGCTATGTGCTCTAAGAACCCCCCGACCTGGTCCTCACAGCTCCCTTGGGCAGAATATTCCCATAATTCTCTTGTGAACTCTACCGGTTTCTCCCCTTTTCAGGCTGCCTATGGTTATCAGCCCCCACTTTTCCCCCATCAGGAGAGGTCTGCATCGGCCTCCGGCCCCGCCGCGTTTGTACGACGTTGTCGGCACACTTGGGTGGATTACCGCTCTCGTCTGGTCCAGAATCAGGAACGGTTCACCGCAGTGGCGAACCGTCGGAGATCAGCCGCACCCGACTACAAGGTGGGAGACAAGGTTTGGCTTGCCTCGACAGATGTGCCATTGAAAGGGGGTTTGAGAAAGCTCCTTCCTCGGTACATCGGCCCCTATTCAGTGTCCAGGGTCATCAACCCGGTGGCGGTCAGGTTGGACCTTCCTCGCTCCCTGCGGATCCATCCTGTTTTCCACGTGAGCAAGCTTAAGCCCTTTGTGGCTAGCCCCTTGCATCCGCCCCCTGCGGCTCTGCCTGCTCCTCGCCTTGTGGAAGGTGGCCCGGTCTTCAAGGTGAACAAGCTCCTGGCCTCTCGGAGGGTGGGTCGGGGCATCCAGTACCTGGTGGATTGGGAGGGTTACGGCCCGGCGGACCGCCAGTGGGTCCCCGAACGCCACGTCCTGTGCCGTGACCTGATCGCCCGTTTTCACCGGGACAACCCTGATCAGCCTCGTCGTCCATCTGGAAGCCGGACCTTGTGAGGGGGGTTATGTTATGGGTTACTCCTCCTGATTGTTGTAATGCGTGTTTTTCTTTCTCTGTGTAGGTTGGCTGTGGCTCTTCCTGCTGTTCCTGCCCCTCTTTGGAGCATCGGGGAATGGCGCAGCTGACTGCAATTTCCTGATTGCCACACCATGTATTTAAGCAGCTGCTTCCTGTGCATGGTGTGGCGTTGTTGTGAAGAGTTTCTGGTGTTTAGAGCATAGCTTTGTTTCGAGTCTGTGGTAGTTTTGTTTTGTATTACCCGTGAAGTCCTTTTCCCACTTATGTGGTGACTTTTTGTTATTAAAAGTAATCAGTATCGGATCTGGTCATCCTGTCTCCTGCATTTGGGTTTATTCCTGTGTACCCTCGCGTAACACTGCCACTGTGCAGATGTTTGATGACCTCAGAGCCATCTGCTGCAGAGACTGATGGATCCAGCCACAGGTCTCCTGGTTCTGGTTCCTCCTGGAACACGTAAAGGTGGGACTGAAGTTTCTCATCCCTTCTATGACCCGTCTGAGTTACTTTATGCAGCTGCTGGTTGTTGAAGGTGGTGTAGGAGATGCATTTGTTGCTAAAATGCTTTAAATGTTCTTACCATATGGTAGGAATTAAAATTAACAATTTGTCATTAAAGGAATAATTTTGATCATCTCTGAAAACAGAGTCAAGGGGGGGGGGGGGGGGGGGGGGGCTTATATTGCACCTTTCCAGTACCTGTAGAGCTCCGGGAGTTGACGTCACTTCTCCCGGCATGCAACAGTTCAAATCGAAATGGCGCCATCTTGGCAGGCAGAAGCCCGCAGCTAGACTATTTGTTATTGTCAGAAAACTCAAACAGGAAATATGGTAGATTCCTGTTGTGCCCCAGAATGCCAGAACAGATGCGGACGACATAAGGAATGAGCCTTCTACATAATTCCCCAAGATCCGAAACGCCGCAAACGTTGGATGATTGTAATAAAATGCGCTAGTGACCGGGCTAAAATGAAGCTGTGGGATCCCGAGAGTAAAGGTTTTCGCTTATGCAGAGACCGCTTCATATCAGGTACTTAAACGTTTCCTCAACTGTGTATGGTATTTATTTTAAATGCTTTTGTTACGATTCTTAGTGGGCTTCCTAAACTTATTTTGGCGTGGTTTTTCTGTCTTATTACTCATAGCAACAAGTAAACATCATGTAAAACGTTGCCTAGTGATTTCTGCGTGCTGCCGTTTACGTGTTTTATGATCACAGCAATTAACCGGCTAAGCTGCATTTAATCAGATCACACATAAAAATCACTTTGGATTGCTATTATCTGTCTCACCGAGACGGATCTCAGACAGATCCTGAGACGCTCCTGCCTGACATATTTATTTTATTCACGGAAAAAAATCAAACTAGTGATTTCTCTTGGCGTTCAGTTTATACATTCAGACAGCACAGCTCTCTATTTAAACTCCTTACATGTGCTTGTCCATCCATCCATTTTCTTCCGCTTATCTGGATCCACTTCATCCGGAGTCAGGTCGCGGGGGCCGTAGCTTAAGTCGAGAGGGACTACCCCTCTCTCCAGCCACTTGGGCCTGCTCCTCCGGGGACATCCCAAGGCGTTCCCTGGCCAGGTCCGCTCCGACAGCTTGTGGCATTTTTAAAATGTATCGCAGGGGCATGGTAAGGGTCGGAGATGTTTAATCTATTTAATTTCTGCTTATATAAAACGATTTCTTCTGTTTAAAAGTGTGAAGTAAACTCCGACGGAGTAAAATCCAAGCCGATCTCGTTCATTTTGTTTACCTTTGTTGCGTGCCAACGTGGCGTCTACTCTCTGAGAGTCGCGTGACGTCCGTAGCTCTATAAGGCAGCTTTGGATCTCATTCCTGAGCAGTTTCAGTGTAGGCCACACCTTCCTACGTCTAATCAACACAACAACTCCCTCTCAATAGAGGCCAACGACTCATCATGGAGTGGAGAGGCGGGGTAACCGGAGTAGTTTCTGCTCGTTAAATAACAACACGCACCAGTGTCATGGTGGCGCCATTTCTTCCACTAGGTAGGAGAACGTTGTGTCTCTGTGGTTGTACATCAGCTGTGGATGGATCCTGAAGAAAGAGGGGCTGGACCTTTGAATTGTTGTTTTTCAAAATGTAGCTCGCTGAAAAAGCTTCATCAAGGAGCTCTTCCCCTATGTTTAACTCAGATGTTAAAATAAAATCCTGGACTTATTCAAACCATTTCTGTCTAAAGGTCTAAAATTAAACTGAATGCATGAAGATCAGATCAGAAGCAGAGGTGAAAGGGAACTCAGCAGCCTGTTTAAATTCCCGTTAGTTAGCTTGGACCCGATCAGGTGACCCGTCTCCACGGATCTTTCTGGCGGTTTAGGCTTCCTTCAAACTCAATCACATTTTTATAAATCTGATTTCTCGTAAGACCCGACAACTCTGACATGGAGATTGGATCTTTTACAATGGAAACTGTGGTTTCAGCTCCAGTTCTCTGTAGAATGTTGAATTAAACCCATTAGACAAGTTCTGGAAAACGTTTTAGTTCTGATTCTCCAGTTTAACCACTAATTGCTTTATTGTGAGAATATTTAGATTCTTTACGTGAAAGAGAAGGTAAAATGAGACACAGCCCTTACAAAAGACTCAGATCTTTATTATAGAAAACCAGTATAGAACCCAACACACATAGAACACATTAACAACTATACATTCTTACAAAGTTCTCCCGTTTTAAGCAGTCACGGCTTTATGATAACGGTCTCTCTGTTTGAGCAGATAAACATCCTGGTAAAGCTCCAGCAGATCCATCTTAAAGGGAAACGAGGAACGGCGTTCTCAGCCTCCATCAGCAGAACGGGACAGGAGATCTAAAATAGCAGACATTTATGGCCCACTCTCTGGAACATGTACTGTCTCTTTTAAGACGCAGCTCTTTGCTGATTGGCCAACAGAATCATCTCAGAGATGTGGGAGGGTGATGGTGTTAAAATGATCAACAACAGAGTTCAGATATTGATACACCTTAAGCTCATAGTTATCACCTTAGATGGGGGACCAAGCTTTTATTTTGAAGGGCTTCGGTTACATGGCAGTCTGGACTCACGTATTTGATTTGAAACCCAATTTTTTGTATATTTGAATCTTAATGTTTTAATTAAACTGCATGAGTTATGGTTTGTAAACATTTTGATTTACTTCATTATGACTGAAAACTAGATATACTAAAGTACATCTGTGTATTTAGTGCATTTTTATACAGACAGCACTTTGTTCTCCTTTCTACTTCCTAACAAAGCATCTTGTGTCATGAGTTTATTTTAATAACTGATTGCATTGTTAGCATCCTGTCCTGCTGTAGCCTGAGGAGGAGGAGGAGGAGGAGGAGGAGGAGGAGGAGGGATGCATCTGCACAAAGGCACTTAAAACTACATTATCTCCATATACATATAAATACATTCCTGTTGTGCAAACTGCGAGAGTAGAGGAGCTCCTACTGAAGCTGAACATTCCACCAACACCCGATCAGGTGTGTGTGTGTGTGTGTGTGTGTGTGTGTGTGTGTGTGTGTGTGTGTGTGTGTGTGTGTGTGTGTGTGTGTGTGCGTGTGCGTGTGCGTGTGTGCGTGTGTGTGTGCGTGTTAGAGACTAGGAAGGTCAGGAGGATACAGATGTTCCCCCTAGAGAACTGTGGGTCTGTGGTTTTTACTGATCAGCTGCCAGGTTTAAGTTAAAATGACGCAGTTTTAGAAACCGGACTGCTTTTGAACACGGATCAAGCAGGAGTGGAACTGAGAACAAACAGAAAATCACATCCCAGCCCCAGAGATTCCTGTGACCTTTGACCTGCGTCATCACGAAGAAACAAACGTTTGATAAATAACATCTCACAAGTTATGAAAATAGTAATCCAGGGAGCCAGCTTCCCACGATCTCACACACATAAAGTAAACACACCTAGAATGAGTTCAACCAACAGAACCCAGCAGAACCCGACCTCCTGTGAGTTCCTGCTCGAACGTTGCTTCAGCGTTGGTAAAGAGTAAAGATGAGACACGTCTGCTATAAATGCTGTCCTCACGGTTCCCTGACGAGGAAGTTCTGTACACGTTTTACAGCACCAGGTGAGTCTGGAGGTCTGGCTGGACGGGCTCGCCGCCTCCTGAGGTGAGGAGTCGTACTTTAAGTATGTCTACCATTTTCCAGGGATGGGTATTCCACACTCATACCAGGAGACGTAGTTGATGTGGGAATGTCCTCCCATTTGCCCAAAGTGGACAGGTTCCTGACGTAAGGCTCTGTAGAAACCTGGAGCAGGAGAAGAAGACGTGATGAAGTTCAGCTGCTTTAATCAGAGCTGTGTGTGGTTCTGAAGTCTGAGCGTATCAGATTTGTTGATTTGGCTCTAAAACCGCAGAAGGAGCTGGCTTCAGACATGTGTGGTTTCCTGACAGTGAGACACTACAGCCGCCCTGATCCCGAGGATTTCTGACTCATGAACAGACTCGACGCAGCTCCTGTTTTAGTAAACGAGAAGCTTCTGCAGAGACTTTCTGTCCGAGTGGATTTGTAGACCGATCACAATGCAGTGATGTCATATCTCCTCAACTCTAGCTAAAGTGCTTATGATGCTAGCTCTGATGTTAACATCAAAGCTAACATCGCACACCTTACCGGAGTCATGAGGATGTGACATCACTCTAACGTGATTGGCCATTTGCAGTAAATGGTCCTGATCTAAAACGTGCTGCTGGTCCAGGACTGAACCCAGTGTGTGGACTGCGGATGTAGCATGAAGCTGGACATGTACCGGTTCTGGAGGGGAGCTGGTAGGATCGGAGCTGCCTGCCCGTCCGTCCGTCCAGGAACGAATCCACAAACTGACAGTGGTCCTCTCCGAAACCGCTCTGATCTCCAATGTTGTAGAATTTACCTGCAGGGCAAAAAACGGGTCAGAACCAGAACCCGGTTGCTGGTGAAATGGGTCCATGGAGCAGCGTTTGTACTCACCGGTGAGCGAGTCGCTCAGGTAGATCTTGTACCTGAGCGAGTTGCAGAGCTGGACGCCCACAAACTTGCGGTACCAGGTCCTCTTCACGTACTGCTTCCCGTGGCAGTCAGAGTAGGAGTCTGTCTTAAAGGGGAACTGGGTCCAGATGGCGTCTTTCCCTGTGAACAGCAGCAGCTGGACTCAGAATATTCAGACAAAAACTATTAATCTCAGAGCGGATGACGAGTGGGTGCTAATCTACCTGAAACGTTCTCACTGACTCGAGGATCAGCTGCAGGAGAAACAGAACAGAACCATTAATCTACATCAAGAGACTAAAAATAAATGAAAAAAGTCACCAGTCTGCTTCAGGTTTCATCTGAACAAACGTCTGAGCTGTAGGAAGGGGAATAATCATTAAACGTTTTATTCATTTCACACAGAAACGTGTGTTTTTCCTGTTAGTGACCCTTTAAGCCCATAAAGTTCTGGAAGGTTTGGTGAATAGAGCAGAACCAGACCCAGTTCCAGATGATGGAGCATATCTGGATGGCTTTGGTTGTTCAGATGAATCCTAAATGTCAGCTCCTCTCAGCACTCAGCTGGTCATTTATGAGAAATCAGATTTCGATCCTGTAAGTAGATCTTTGTGTTAATCAGCTGCAGCCCAGAGGAGAGTCCAAACACAGACGGGACCTTCAGCCATCCTCATGTTTGGCTGGAGGTGCTGCTGCTCTGAGTAAGGACTCTGATGAGTGGGGCGGCGTACCAGACTCCGTGCTGAAGGACACCGGCTCACTCGGAGGACCTTCTCCCAGCTCGTTCTTCGGCTTCACCTTGAACTCATAACTGGAGAAACAGACAGATGAAGAAACAAATGTTTCAGAGTTCTGACACAGGAATTTGCTAACATCAGGACTAGTGAAACCAGTAGCCAGTAACCAGCGAAACCAAAACTAACAGCTGACTCACTCATAAAAGACGAACTTTCTAACAACCTATCCAAGCAGTGCTGAAGGTCAGAGATGTCTGAGTCCAGTCAGACCTCGGGCCAGCTTTTCTCCATCCTCAGGACTTATTAAAGCGCCGCTAAGCGAAGCAGAAAATTGTTGCTTGTTTAACTTCGCCTGACAGTCTCTGGTCTGTTTGCACAGCTGGACTAAGTGACGGCAGCACCAAGTGCCAGATGTTCCTTTGCTCAGACCAGAGCATCTACAGCAGGGAGCTCCTCAGGTTCTTCATTAAGAACCAGACTACATGGATCATAACAGCTCTAACAGACCGCATTCAGCTTCAGATGATTCATAAATTTAAATGTGACATTTTTAAATTAAACATTTAGCTAGCATGCAAAACCGAATGGAAAAGGAAGTGTCCTACCAAAATAAAAGCAGGGTGAGCAGATCTCCTGTCCAAGGTTTCAGATGTTGTGAGTCTGTTGAACCATGGATCCCTGTTTGGGTTATACTTACACCTTAAATAGGAAATCTCTTTACTCTGCTTTTATTTTGGTAGGACACATCCTCTACACAGCTGTCTAATTCGATCTTCTTTGGAAGCGGAGCAAAGCACTAAACCCTGAGTGAACACCGGCGCGGCCTACACTAGTTTGAGGAGGTTACAAAATCACAGAGTGATGGTGACCTGGCTTTGTTGCTACTGGACGTAATACTAGTTTTGTCTAACAGCGTGGATCATTGTGGTTTATTTTAGTATTAGTTGGCTCATGTTAGTGCTAGCTCGTTGTTGGCGCTAGCTACAGTTAGGTTGTTTACGATAGTTGCTATTCCACTATCAACCAGTAGGGCGGAGGAGCAGGAAACTGCTCACTGTTACTTTACCATTACTTGGTTCATTATCAAGCATTAATAATGGGGGAGGCTTTGTAATGCATTACGTAATATGCTTAAGCAGTTGTTAATTACTTTATTTAATAGTTTATTCATGCTTAATTACGCACTAGGTGACAGTAATAAGGGACCCTTTTTGTAAAGTGTTACCACTGAAAGTTACTGTTCGAACATAACATTCAGATTTTACTTTTATTTTAAACATTTAGACAAAACTTTGTTGTTTCTGAAACAAACGTGATGGAAAATCCACCAGTTTCAATTCTTATGAGGAACTAAATGCACTGGAGTGTAAAGCGCTTTGGAGTCCTCTGACTCTGACAGGCACTAGTGTGGGTTATTGATCATTCATCGTTACATCTAGGTGTTTTTTTAGATTTACTAAAGAGTCGGCCATGTTTGCTTTCAGAAGAACTGGGTGAAACTGGTTCTTCTGCAGAACTTGGAGACCTTTGGACTATCTATCATCCACCTTCTGAAGATGGTTATGGCTAAAAGGATGTCAGCTCACCTGCTCTCAGGTTTGAGGTTTTCCACAGCTGTGTGAGTCTGGTTGGTGGTCAGGACTGAGACCTGCTCTCCATCAGGACCTTTAGCGGTGGAGATGACTTCATATTCTACAGAGAGGACATATCAGTGGTGAGATCCTACTGCTAATCATGGGTCACCTTCTACTAATGCCAAGCAGAACATCCGAGGTTCAGGAATCGGGAACATTTTAACTCATTTCTTCCTACCGGTGGTGTGGTTGTCGGTCTTCTCCCAGTCCAGGATGATGAAGGATGGGCACCCCTCCACCGTCACCACGGTGAGGTTGGACGGTGGGTTCTTGGGACGAGATGTCACATTTGTCTCTCCAGGTTCAGATTCAGGGAAGTAGGTGAGAGAGGAGGTGATGGAGCAAGGCTCATCTGGTTTCTTTCCCGTCTGGTAGACTACATGAGGAGCTGTTGGAGGAACGAAGGTCTAGATTAGTCACCTTCCTCCTAAACTCAATGGTCAGATAAACCAGAGGAGAGTCGTACCAACATAACGTTTGTTCCCCAACGCGTCAATGTCGGAGGCTGGCTGAGACTTGAACAGGTCCGACTCTTCCCAGGTCTCCTGCTTAGTGGCTGAGAGAAGAAGTAAAAATTATCTGATCTTCAAACATCAAGCTGGAATTAAATTTGATGTTTTTTAGACTGAAAATATTTGAGTTTTAGGATTTACAACAACAACTGGAATGTTCATTATTCCTAAAGTTGGGAATACCAGCAGCTGTAGGAGGAACCGTCGTGGTCTTCGTTCGCTCCAGTTTGGTTGGTTTGGCGGTCGCTGGTGGAACTTTCTGTGGCAGGAAGTCCGACTTTTCACTTTTCTCCACCAGGTTGACTTTATCTGAAACAAAAATCATTTCATCCCGGGTTAAAACTTCCACCTGAAGGCTCATGAAGACACAGCTGATGTCTAGTCCCGATTCTCGATGACTTCTCACCCGTTTCTCCAAGTTTTCTGACAAAGTTTGGTTTGGCGTGGACAGCTGGACGAGGAACGGCTCCTGAAACAAACGCCACAGACTTTCAGATGATTAATGGACCACCAGCCGCTTCCCTCAGAGTCTGTCTTTACTTTCTGTATCTTGTGAAGTTATTTGAATCCTGGAACCATCTGATCTAATGAGAAACACATTCGCCTCACTCAGATTAGGATCATCAGGACTTCTCTAAATTGTAGAAAAGTTTCATGTAAATCAGATTCAGGCGCAACGCTGCCTGCCTGAGGTAGGGTGGGTGGGGTGGGGGGCCACTTTGGGCCCGTGTTCTTGCCAGCTGCTCACTAATCTCCTGCAGGATCTTTGATCTGGAGTGTTCTCCAAACACCAAACACGAACAACCTCCTGGAAATCCAGAAGGTTGTTTGTGTTTTTGATTCAGAGGTCCAGAACCTGCAGCCAATTCCCCCCCACCCCCTTATAGAGAGGCCCAAATTCCTCACAATCAGGGAACTGAAGCGGTTCCAGAACCAAATGGAACAAATGTAAAACCACAAACATGAAAGATGATGGAGTCCCGCAACGTTTTAGTTAGAAAGCTGAAACAACACAGATGATGATGCGGAGCCGAGGTTTTGGACTTCTGGGTTCAACTTGTGCTATTTCTGAGGAAAAGACCCGAGAACAGAACAGCTTTACAAGGATCTTTCTCCTGGAAGGTCGGGATGGAACCAGAGCGGTGATCACGGATTACAGCACAAGGCCAATGAGTATCTCCTCACACACAAACTGTCCTGAAGCTCAAAGCAAACAGAAGCTTCTGCATGGTGACAAAAAGTGCAAAGCTCTGTAGAGCAATGTTCTTCAAAATAAGCCACCTATCAGAGGAGCTTGCTCTTCCAGGAACAAAATATTTTCCACAGATCACGCGGAAGTCATTGGCCGGAGGATCAACGCCGGCAGCCAGCATTCCCCTTCCTGCTTATGTCAGAAACTAGCCTCAGGACGCCTCGTAACCATGTGGAGCTGACGACTGAAAGGCAGACTTACGGTGCAGATGGGATCTGAGCCATTACCAATGGAGACGCCAGAACCACCAAACACATCAGGAACCTTCCTGTTTGTCCCCCATCAAGGAGTTGTTGACTGCAAAAGGAGAGGTGAAGCAACTCCAACTCAACGATCAGAACCCACCAGCAACGTAGTGCTCATTGTTCGATCCGCTGTTTGAGTATGAAAACATCTGACATGAAAGACCTGAGCATCTCTGATCTGGTTCCTACACTCTGGTCTAAACTCAGACCAGGATGGCCTGAAACTGAAACCGATGAATCTGCCAGACTTGTAGTTCCATAGGGTGAAAATGAGAAAATATTGATATATATATGGAAATTTGAAACATATCAATATTACATCAAACTAGCTTTTCTTAAAAGCTTTTGGAATAAAATGAGAACATCCTAACAGTCAAATAGGTGGAAAATCAATTAAGGTGGAGTCCCTCATGGTTCAGTGTTGAGCCCCCATACACTTTGTTCAATCTGAACTTTAAAGTTTACATGACTTTATGAATGTGTTCCTGCTTCAGCCTCCAGATGTTTCAATTAATAATTTAAGTAATTATCTGTCTGAGAAGTAAAACCATACCACTATGAGAGGCAACACTAACAAACCAGAGTCATATAGGCACCTTCAGTTTGCTGGACTTCCAGAACCAGAGGCAGGAAGATGTGAAGGTTACAAAGATCTAACTGAGTTCCCCTCCTCTTCATCAGCCCTGGCGACAGCTCTACACCTCAATTAAAGATCATTGGTGTGAATCAAGGAGGTTAGTTTTGACTAAACCCATCGACTGCTTATGAACAAACTACCATCTGATGTTCATGTTTTCTATCTAATCCAGCAGTCTGTTGTTCAGATCTTTACTGAACCTAAAACTCATCATGGGATCACAGCAAACCACCCAGAAACCAGAGAGCTCCATAGAGCAAACAGAAACCAGACAGTCCAACACCCGGCTCCACCAGAACATGGACCACAGAGAGCTGACAGAACCAACTCAAATAACCAAACTCCAGCATCTTGATTATTTGAAGGACCTTCTGCCAAAACCTTTGGTGAAAACCAGCAGAAGCTCAACTAGAAGCTGATGGAAAGGAGACACATGGAGGGACAGACTGAAGAAAGCAGGAATGGGTGACAGGACGAGTCAATGGAGGAACAAGGATTAAAGACATAATGGATTTGGACAATAAGACTAACATGAGCTGCAGTGGAGATGGAAATGCTGCAAAAGTGACTGAAGGTGAATGATGAGACACAGAAGGACAAGGTATTTTTACCCAGTCGAGTTCTGGACCATAAGACTGGTTTGGCCTGGGCAATGCCCCGGTGTGGCTGTCCATTTGCTGTTGGGAGAAAACGAGTGTTAGGAAGAGGAGTCTGCTCCTGAGAACTGAAGCTGACACCAGAACAACCAACCAAGACCCGTTTGGTACAAAACTAAATCTGGTTTCAGGGAATCCTTCAGAGAGATAAAGATCAGCTCGAGCTGTTCTGGGACAAAACATATGAGCTCATTTAGTCCCATCCACTGTCAGATCTACTGATAATGGAGCTGCTGGAACCCATCAGAGATGGGATCTTTAGAACTGATGGGCTTCATGATTGGACAGAAGAACTGTCCTCACACATTTTATCCATTTTAACTCGACCAAACTGGAGCCAAAAGGGCTTACGTTTAACGCCAGCTGGCATCAAAATAAACTCTACATCAAAGTGCTAAAAGCCGCGGGTCACGTCTGGTTCCAGAACCTATCGGACCCTTAAGATCTTTGTGTGGAAAACTCAAACCCAGAGCAGAACTAATCCGGTTTCTAATAAATTATCACTGCTTGTTTTATATAAGTATGAACTATAGTACAGTGGGCGTGGCCAGTTTGACTGACATGATCTGGTCTGGTTGTTCTGCTGTGAGGTTCATGTAGCAGCCAACAGGAACAAAGCGAGTGGTGGTGCTATGGTTTCTATTTGTAGATCAGGACTTATGTAAAGAACAGCTAAAAGAGTCAAACCTGAGCTGATGCTACAGTGTTTACTCTGTTTTCTGATTTCACCAAAATGTTCCAAATGACAGATCAGTTGTTTCCTTTAGCACAGGCTTGTGGGACAAAAGGGACATTCACAACGGTTGAGTAGCTTTAAAAATAAAGAATCAGGTATTAAAGGTTCTATATGATGCAAAGTTCACTTTTAGGAGCTTTTGATCGTGTTATATTGTTATTTCCTCATTGGAAAAAGTCCCTAAACTGAGCCAGAATGTGACCCTGATTTCAGAGACTGCTTGGTGAACCTCCACCAGAACCAAAGTAGGTTTACGGGGGATTAGTTCTTTAAACCGGCACCTTTGGATAGGTCAGAAGGGTGAGTGCAACCAAAATGCTAACTGCTAGCAGAATGGTAAAGTTTGGTGGGTGAACATCAGACATGGACTGGGATTATTAATCATGGCTGCCTTTTTGCAGTCCGAGCGGTGTGTGTGTGTCAGGGGCTTGATTCTCTGATGTGGTGCGCATAATCACCAAGTAGGCCAGTTTGGCAGCCAGGCCACTGGGAAATGTCCAGGTGCTGCCAATAGCCAATTCCCCACTGGTGTGTGTGTTGGCAGTTGTTTTTTCTCTCTATGGCCCATGACGCTTTGTTGGAGGTCTAGGATTGCGTCATTACCTAAGTGGAACTCACACAGGTGGATTCCATCAAATCCAAGCATCTAACTTCTGGGTTGATCAAAAGTCTCATTAGACAATAACTGAATTTCAGAACAAACGATGACTCAGTAGTGCCAGCTGTAAAAGTGTATCATATATGGCTCTATCATTGCTCTGAACGGTTTAAAATAGCATGCTATAGAACCTTTAAAGATGTGGAGTCCCTCAAGGTTCACTGTCCCAAACCTTTTATTTTATATCGGTTGTCCGGACTGTAACACGTACTGATTAAAGAATTGTTGCAGAATTTTTTTCTAAAAATTTCCAGAAAAAGTTAATAGTTTTACACATTTTTGCATACCATCAAATTTACGCTGAAGTCTCTTCTGGTTCTGATTTCACTTGAATCCAATTGATTTAATTTCATGGCTCACCGACGAGTGTTCTCTTCTAGTTAACATGAGATGTTGCTCCATGTGGCTGGAATGATGAAAATGGACCCAGAAACCGGATCAGACCAAATCAGGGGCTATCAACATTGTTTTGATCGAATGCAAAGACGGGTAAAGACATGAAGCTGAAGGCTTTGTTTGTGCGTTACTGATCTGAGTAAACCTACTTGAGTCCAATTACTAAGCAACTCTTGAAACAAAAATCAAACAGGATTGATCTGTTGTGGAAATTTGTGATCTATAGGATCGTGAAGTCAGAAAGAGACTGGAGGAGGTTTACCCCCAAGTATTTCCACCGTCGGGGAAGAGCTACTGGATCTAGAGGAAGAGGGTCTGTATCCGTTAGAGAAGGGATAGAGGGGGTTTCTCAGTGCAGGCCTCAGGGATCCAGATTCTGAAGAAGCTGCTGGACTGTAGGGTCTGAAAGGCAGAGACGGGTTCACGTTTCTGTTGCTGCCTCGACCTAAAGAGATAAAGACAGTTGCAGGTCCTGAGTTATGGTTGGATATTTTTATCTGTGATGGACAGCAAGTGAGTCTGCAGCAGCCCTGAGCCGTGACGTTAGTGATGGACCGTCTGATGGGGTTTAATCTGGATGATCAATGAATACATGATGTGTTATGATGATTCAGCGCTCATAATCTTTAGAGACCAGTCAGTGAAGGTGCTGCTGGGCAGCAGGCATGACTGGAAGATTGTGAGCTGCATGCAGACGCCACATGAGGTTCAGACCTCGGAGCAAAGCAGCCAGACCTGTGGATGGAAACGTTTGATAGAAGATGGACAGAAAGAGGAGACAGAGGGAGGACGCCACAGGAAGCAGGAAGTGAGAGTTTTTACCCCAGGTGTTAGCTTTTATTTGCTCGTTGGCCAGCACTGATCTCAGCAGCAACGAGCCATCCTGTGACCTGAGCATCACTGTGTGGGAAAAGAAAATGGCAAAGACCAGTTTAGAGATGGTCCACTTCCTGTAAAATGAAACCAGTTACATTTGTTATGTGTGGAAACGACGTCAGTCTGAGGGAATCCTGCTGGAGTCGGAACAACATCAAACATGTTGAAAGAGATTGTTAAAAAGGAAGGAAGCAGTTGGTGGAAATTACCCGCAGGACTGGGACGCTTCTCAGGAGCTCGAGTAGGTGGGGCCTTAGTGGTCTGACCGTGAAGAGAGCCACCATTGGAGGGTAATTTAGTGATGGGGGAGATGGTGCGAAGGGTGGAGGAGGTGGTGGTGGGGGTGGTAGTCGTGGGAAGGAGTATGGAAAGGGCAGGAGTCGGACGATCCGCTGGTCGGGTTCTGTTGGTCCTAAGACCGTTTCCTTTTTCTGGGGCAAAGAGGAGAGAGATACTGAAATCACAGGAACTAGACTGACCTGGAGTCAGATCTGACAGCAGATCAGCTAAGCTTTCATCATCTCCATCCATGGTAAGACTTCTCCTGGTGGACCAGCAAGTCTGAGACGTTTTCAGGTTTCACTCATTTTACTGGAAACTGATTTAAAGGCATTTCCTCTTTTGAATCCATTCAACCAATGAAATAACGTTTGGGTTAAATATTTGTTTTTCATGTGTCTTTCTAAAAGACAAAAAAAGAGACAAATCCTGATTAGTTACCCCCAGCCTGTTGGCGTTTACTGGGCTTCAAGTGCCACCAGGTGTGCTCCTTTTCTAAACTAAGATCCAAATTTTGTGAGACAGGTGCAATGAATGAAAGACAACATAGTGTGTGAGTGTCCCAGCTGGACAATTAACCCTTGTGAGACCAGCTTAGAATGGAGCAACCAGCATCAGACTGGAGACCAGTATAAGGAAGAGGAGTTCAGCTAGTGATCAACATGAAGAGGATGAACCAAGTTGGTGACTGACCAGCAGAAAGATAAGGAGCCAAACTAGTGACCAGCATGACTAGTAGGGGATAAACTAGAGACCAGCAAAAGGAGGAGGGGCTAAACTAGTGACCAGCATGAGGAGGAGGGGCTAAACTATTAACCAGCTAAAGGAGGAGGGGCTAAAATAGAGACCAGCTAAAGGTAGAGGTGTTAACTAGTGACCAGCATGAGGAGGAGGGGCTAAACTAGTGACCAGCATGAGGAGGAGGGGCTAAACTATTGACCAGCTAAAGGAGGAGGGGCTAAAATAGAGACCAGCTAAAGGTAGAGGTGTTAACTAGTGACCAGCATGAGGAGGAGGGGCTAAACTATAGGCCAGCTAAAGGAGGAGGGGCTAAAATAGAGACCAGCTAAAGGTGGAGGTGTTAACTAGTGACCAGCATGAGGAGGAGGGGCTAAACTATAGGCCAGCTAAAGGAGGAGGGGCTAAAATAGAGACCAGCTAAAGGTGGAGGTGTTAACTAGTGACCAGCATGAGGAGGAGGGGCTAAACTATAGACCAGCATGAGGAGGCGGGGCTAAGCAAGTGACCAGCATGATGAGGAGGGGCTAAACTAGTTATCAGCATGAGAAGGAGGGGCTAAATTAGTGACCAGCATAAGGAGGAGGGACTAAACTGGTGACCAGCATGATGAGGAAGGGCTAAACTAGTGACCAGCATAAGGAGGAGGGGCTAAACTAGTTATCAGCATGAGAAGGAGGGGCTAAATTAGTGACCAGCATAAGGAGGAGGGACTAAACTAGTGACCAGCATGATGAGGAGGGGCTTGACCAGTGACCAGCATGAGGAGGAGGGGCTAAGCTAGTGACCAGCATGAGAAGGGGCTAAACTAGTGACCAGCATGAGAAAGAGGGGCTTAACTAGTGACCAGTATGAGGAGGAGGAGGGGCTAAACTATAGGCCAGCATGAGGAGGAGGGGCTAAACTAGTGACCAGCATGAGAAAGAGGGGCTTAACTAGTGACCAGCATGAGGAGGAGGGGCTAAACTAGTGACAAGCATGAGAAAGAGGGGCTTAACTAGTGACCAGCATGAGGAGGAGGGGCTAAACTAGTGACCAGCATGAGGAGGAGGGGCTAAGCTAGTGACCAGCATGAGGAGGAGGGGCTAAGCTAGTGACAAGCATGAGAAAGAGGGGCTTAACTAGTGACCAGCATGAGGAGGAGGAGGGGCTAAACTATAGGCCAGCATGAGGAGGAGGGGCTAAGCTAGTGACCAGCATGAGGAGGAGGGGCTAAACTAGTGACCAGCATGAGGAGGAGGGGCTAAGCTAGTGACCAGCATGAGGAGGAGGGGCTAAACTATAGGCCAGCATGAGGAGGAGGGGCTAAGCTAGTGACCAGCATGAGGAGGAGGGGCTAAACTAGTGACCAGCATGAGGAGGAGGGGCTAAGCTAGTGACCAGCATGAGGAGGAGGGGCTAAACTAGTGACCAGCATGAGAAAGAGGGGCTTAGCTAGTGACCAGCATGAGGAGGAGGGGCTAAACTAGTGACCAGCATGAGAAAGAGGGGCTTAACTAGTGATCAGCATGAGGAGGAGGGACTAAACTATAAGCCAGCATGAGGAGAAGGGGCTAAGATAGTTACCAGCAAAAGGGGGAGGGGCTTAACTGGTGAGGAGGGTGTTCATCAGTGACAGTCCACTGATGTACAATCCCCACAGCTTCCACGTAATTGTAAAGATGACTAATAAGGATTTTTAGAGATATAAAAACACCAACAGTTTCACAACAAAGTTTCTAATTTTATGTTGGGTGTTTTAAGCAAATTAAATGAAAAATAAAACAAGTCTAAATGTTTGCATTTTGGTCTCATTGATGATGTTGACAGTGAAGATGATGATAATGATGATGATGTACTTGTGGAGAGACAGGTAGATCAGATGATACTGGTTGGACAATAGTTAGCAGAACGGCTTGTGTTGTCTCTCTCAGGAGAGAAAGTACAACCACGTCTGCATCTGGCATGCAGCCCGGTCATGCAGAAAGACAGGAAAAGATTCAGCTTTGATGGGAACAAGAGGACAAAAGGAGGGAAGGACAGAGATTCTGGGCCGTGAGCTAATATATAAATATGTAAATATACTTTATTTTAGGACTTCTGTCTGATGTTGAAACTCTAGAGTCAACAAGGTTTGGTTTTACTGGACTCATGGAAACTAAAACTGGCATCAAACAGATTTGAGCCTGAAAATTAAAAATAATGAATCAAAGTGATAAAAAGACAGAAGAGATCACAGATAAATGGATGCTCAAGCATGGATCTGGTCACATGACCCTCAAAAACTTGGCTACTTTCAGGGAGGGCGGGGCCAAGTCAACTTACTCTTCTCCAGTGACATCACCTCCAGGTATCGACTTTCTGACTCTGCATGCCAACATGCAACCATTCACATCAGCTCCAGGCCCTAGGCCCCGCCCCCTCCTAGATGGATGGCTGAAGCTGCATGAATGACAGAGGCTGATGGTTACAGAAGAAAAAAAGAGTGACTGTCTGGTTACCGGGCAACTCGAGAAGAAGTTTGGGCTCAGAGCTGGGCAGAGGGATAGTTTCCTGCTGGCTCTCAGGGACCGACTCTGTGGAAACAGGATGACGTTTTTACAAGGTGAAGAAGAGGAGCAGAAAACGAAGCTGAAGAAGAGACAGGAACCCCAGCTCAGGCTCGACTGATCAGGTCTGCAAAAATGTTATTTGCCTGTTTTGATCCTGCAAACTATTTTTCCTTACAGAGAGATTAACTAAATCATTACCAACATTTATGTTCGCTGAGAGGCATCAGCTGAACCTGCTGGGAGCCTCGGAGGGTCAACAAACAAACTCCTCTGCTTCCCTGGAACAAAGGATTAAAGCAACAAGACTAGAATGAATAAAGAGATAATCACCAAAGGAGGAGCGCGGCAATCCGGAAAAACCGGGGTATTTGATCAGAGAGGGGGGATGAGGTCTTGTGTTGTTGTGCAGAGCTGCAAACAGTCAACAGTTATTAAGAATCAATAAAAACTCTCCTCATGTTCTACAGCAGATAGGTCATAATTCTCCTGACTGGAGCAGCCAAAAGCATGTGTCTGAGTCATAAATCCTTACCAGGACGAACAGGGATGTTTTTCAGAGGTTTCTGCAAAACACAAACCAGAAAAATGCAAAGTAAAACCACAGCTACAAGTTGCATCCCGCATCTCATAAATCCAGTCTGAAGCCGTTTCTTTTTTCCAGCTCAGATCTTCAGCTTTTCCTAATTTAGTCTGATCAATCTCAGATGGAGACAAAATAAATAAATAAACCCAAAGTCTTTTACATATTTATACAATCTGTTCTCGAGAACTGAACGAAGCTTTCTGGTGCAGATTCCTTCAACAAGGTAGCTTCAGTGAAAATGAAGGTCCTCGCTCGGGGAGAACGTCTGCAGGATTTAAGGTCATAATAAAAAAAAAATCCTACAATTTTGGTTAAAAAAACTCTTATTAAAAGCAAAATAAAACTATAACAGAGTAACTGTGGAATCTAGCAGCAGGGCTGGCGTTACCGACACCTACCATCAGCTTTGGTGGAGGATGGCGCTGCTTGTACGGCTGCTGGCCGTTCTTATCTGTAGAATCGAGGGAAAAAAACAATAACATCGTTGAGGATAAGTGGTGGTTTTGTTACAGAGCAGACAGAAAAACTTTGTGGAAGAAAAGTAAGACAAACAACATGAATGTGTTCTTTTTTCGTATAAAGTGATAAACGAATAAAAGGCAGCAGGATGTCAATATAGCCTCTTTTATGAGACAGACCATTGCATCATTACAGAGTGATAAATCCGAATTTGTGAGTCTCGTAAATGTGGCAAGGAGCAAAGGGGCAAGGTGACAAAACTCGATTATGATGCGCTTAGCCTCGTAGTAATATTGCCGCATGAGCCCCCCGCCTCTGACGGCTAAACACGTGTCAGCCCAGCTAATCCCTTTGGAGCGACTGTGGGAGGTCCCCCCCGCAAATAGGGTGGTCGCGTTAGCGACGTATACTGCGCGCCGAGTGCCGGCCGGAAGAGATATAAACGCAGATAAACATGGCCTCTCACTAGTATCTTTCAACCACCTACAACATGGCAAACTGGACGGACGCGGAGACCATGGAGCTTTTGGCCGTGCGAGCGGACAAACAGATTAATTCAATTCAATTCAATTCAAAAATACTTTAGCAAAACGGAAGAAGCCTCTGACTGAAGACACTCTTCCGTTGTCGGACAGTCTTGTGAAGAGAACGCTCAGGGTTGTCCATAATTCTCTTGATTCTCTGGAGAATCCTTCTTTGCATGATCTCCTTCAGCGGTTCCAAAACTGCCGAAACTCTGGCGGAGTCCTTGAAAGGGCTTGGAATGCCTCCATCTTGTTGGCCAGTGATCTCACATTGCCCATTATGATCGATGGAAGAGATGCTTTGAATTTCCTCTTTCTCGGTCTCCGTTTTACTCCCGCTCCCGTAATAGTTGCCTTTTTATGGGGACGTTGAGAGACAGCCAGCTGTTCGACAGAGTGGTGAAAACACTGGCTGAGCGGGGCGTCAAGCCGGACAAAAAGCAGGTCACATCAAAGCTAAAGGTCCTGAAAAAGAAATTTCATCAGTCTTTCGTGTCTTCCGTCTTACGTTGAATGTGCGACCCTGTACGTCACATGCGGTGGGGGGGGGGGGGGGGGGGGGCAGCGACCACCCTATATCCCGTCTTGGTTTGAGAGGCGCCTGATGGCAGTTTGTTCTAGCTTCAGCTTTGCTACTGTAAATGCCAAAATCCTATCCAGGGAGCTGCGGCAAATCCCGTTTTGCTAACGCTATGGTCCTGTAAAAACAGCGTATGTTTCTTTGTTGAATAGAAGGACTCTTACTGCCTGTGTTGGTGTTGTGGACCACCGGTTTGCTCCACATGCCGCTGCGGTTGTCTTTGTTGGAGCGAACACCAAACTCGTACGGCGTGTTGGGCTTTAGGTTATCGATCACCGTGTCGCTGGTTGGACACGTCTGGTAGATCCACTTCCTGTTCCTCTCCCTGAAGCGGATGGTGTAATATCTGATGGAAGACAGAAGTTCATCAATAACCAATTCAAATCAGCAGAAGCACTTACGGAGTTCCTCAGGGCCTAATACTCGGTAACTTTAGAATAAAGGCTGATAGTTCAATTCAATTTAAAAAAGTATTATGCCAATCAGTAAAAAGTTTCCTTTATAAAGAACCCAGCAAACCACATCAAGTCACTGACTAGTGTCAGAGTCTTTACAGCAATCCTCATACCAAGCAAGTATTTTGCGACAGTGGAGAGGAAAACTCCCCTTTAACAAGAAGAAACCTCCTGAGGATCTTGGATCAGTATAATCAACCATCTGCCACGACTCACTGGGGATGGAGAATTTTGGAACCATCAAAGAAAAATGTAAAAATGTAAGCTTAATTCATGCCAAGAAAATTCACTCCCCCGAAGACAAACGTAATCAGTCAGAATTTGCTGTGATGGATCATTTGTAAAGTCACAAAAATACGTAAGCGTCTCTTAGTCAGGTCAGTAAATTATGTTTGGAGTTTCTCAGGGTTCTACTCTAGTTCTTTTAGATTTTCACACTTCTAAAATCAGACTGTACTTAAACCCGTGTAATCAACAGCTTTGTTTAAAAGTGGGTCATTTTTCTGTTTTCTGATTTAAAACCTCAAATAGAAAAACTTAAAACACACTTACTTAAAACATTATCGTTTGTCTAAGTCAGTGTTTCTCAACCCTGGCCCTCAGCGCCCCCCCCCCCCCCCTGTCCTGCATGTTTTCCATGTCTCTGCTCCAGCACACCTGGTTCACCTATTGCCTCCTTAGGATGACATCAAGTGCTGCAGAAATCTGTTAATCACTCATTCATTTAAGTCTGGTGTGTGGCAGCAGAGAAACAATGCTGTTGGAAACGGCAACATGGAAAACATGCAGGGCAGGGAGGTGCTGAGGACAGGATTGAGAACCACTGGTCTAAACGATTAATTCAATTCTAATCAATTCAATTTTATTTATATAGCGCCACATCACGACAAGAGTCATCTCAAGGCACTTCACATAATAAACATTCCAATACAGGTCAGTTCATTAAGCCAATCAGAAAAAATGTTTCCTATATAAGGAACCCAGCAAACCACATCAAGTCACTGACTAGTGTCAGAGTCTTTACAGCAATCCTCATACTAAACAAGCATATAGCGACAGTGGAGAGGAAAACTCCCTTTTAACAGGGATTAAAATCAGACTTCTACTCTGTTTTAAAAGGCAAAACTTAAATATTGACGCAAATTAGAATTCACGTTATTCATAAACCAAGTAAAGTTAAACCCCAGAAGGTCGTACGGAAAACCATCCTAAAGCTTATGAAGCATTTGTGACAATCAGAAACAAAGTCCTGTTTGTTTAGAAGACTTCAGTAAACACGTGTTACACATTTAAACTCATGTTTAATCCAAAAATGTTTTGTTCTGATGAAGATTTAAACTTCAGGTCTGCTGGGAAACCAAAACCAAGAGTTCAAACAAACATCTGAGAGCAGCAGAAGGCATCGGAGCTTTTCCACAGAGAGCCGCTCTTCCGTAAAACCCAGGATTATTCCCATGTGCTGTCCTCAAGTACAATTACAAACTACAGAAGACACTAAAGGAACTGTCAGACTTGGTATTTGTGAAGGACTCGTGGCTGAGAAGTGGTTTTGCTGAATCGTGTAAACAGAATCAAATCCAGACCCAACGGTTCTGAAGGAGCTGCTGAACCTTCTCCACGACCCCGAGAGCTCGGCGGGTTAATGACACACCAGAGTCTCTCAGCCACGTGGTTTCTCACTGGCTGCCTGCGGTCGCGTGACCTCGGCGTAGAAACAACCATCTTGTTACTTCTAGCCATTCTGTCGATCGCCTTCTCTCCTTAAAGTCGTGTTTTGTAGAGCAGGGATCCAAAAATATGAAGCTGCAGCCAAACACTCTGAGAAGGAGACGAGTTTATGTTTAATAAGAGCGGTGGAGGACAGCTGGGTCACGATTTCCACACATGTCTCCAAATCTTTCACAGGGAGGGGAAACGTGTGCTGTAGGAGGTCCATGTAGGATCTATCACCATCGTCAGATGGTTCAAACACAACAACAGCATAATGGACTCTTGATTCTGACCGTTTATTTTCAGGAAGGAAAACCGTTTTTTTTTTTTTTTGCCATCATTGATGCTGCCATGGTAACCGAGCTTTATACTTTACCACCCGGCTTTTAGATCATCACCCAAGTCAAACAAAAGAAGTCCATGAAGACCAGGGTGGACTCACCCTTCCTCTAGACACTCGTTCATGACGTTCCCTTCGTAGGGCGTCTTCAGGTGGTTTCCCCAGGACAGCAGCACCGACGTGGGGCTGATGGAGCCAATCACCAGGTGGAGCGGCTTCTCCAGGTTAACCTTACCTGAGAGAAAACATGAAGGAACCGTCAGATGTCCTGGAAACCCTTCAGGCCCAGTTTAGAGCGTCCAGCTAACACACCTGTACAGTGTTTCTTCACATCGTTGGCTGGGATCGGCTGCACGGCCACCAGGTACTTCGGTTCTGCGTCTGAATCAAACATTAGAGTTTAAATAAATATTAAATGAACTCCATCATTTATAGAAAATCTGTTTGTTCTTCTGAAACATGACTTTCAGATGTTTAACCAAACGTCCCTCTGGTTCCTCCCATCAGGTGTGAGTTAAACCAGTAAGACAGGAGTGGAGTCTGGTTACGAAAACAGTGGGTGATGAGAAACGTGGATCAGGTTAAAGTCCCCCCAGTGAGCTGATGTGTATCGGGACGTGTTAGCGTCAGGGTCATGATGTGTGAAGCGTGAACACCTCCAGCGGGAACACAAACATGTGAGGACTCCTCGGTGGAAGCCATGAGGGCGATGATGTCATGGCGGCGCGCCGCAGATGGACAGAGGGCAGGAACGCAAATGTAAACGTTTTCAGATGAAGGTTCTGTGTTGAAAGACGTTAAACATGTGAAAACATTCATCTGATTTCAGTCCAGATTAAACTGCTGCTGCTTTTCCTCCAGACACAGACTTCATAACTGTTTCTATTCAGTGTTTATTTACCGTCGGTCTCGTGCGCATCGTGCACCGCAGGTCGGCTCGTCAAAGAGCAGAACGTTTAAAAACAAATGAGAATTAATTCAGAATAAAGAGGAAGGATCTACAAAACTTTAGTTACATTAAATTAGTTGTAATTCATCTCTAGGGTTTTGTTTTAACTCTCAAATTGAGACAAACTCACTAAAACCTCTAATTATCCTCCACATGGACAATAGAGCTACGGACGTCACGCGACTCTCAAAGAGTGGACGCCATGTTGGCAGGCAACAAAGGTAAACAAAATGAACGGGATTGGCTTGGATTTTACTCCGTCGGAGTTTACTTCACACTTTAAACCCGAAGAAATTGTTTTATTTAGTCAGAAATTAAATAGACTAAACATCTCTGACCCTTACTGTGCCCCTGGGATACTTTTAAAAAACGCCAGAAGCTGTCGGAGCGGACCTCTTAAGCTGGGCGTACACTGTGCGACTTTTTCACTTTTTTGAGCCGATTTTCCACTCGTGCGAGAATCCACAAGATCGGGGCGAGTTTTGCGCTGAGTGTCGTGTAGTGTACAGGGAGGCGATTAACACCACGTGACCAGCTACCGATCAGCAATCGTGAGCTCGCACGAACTTCTGGCGTGTTTGATATTTTGCTCGTCCCTAGTGAGGGTATCGCACTGTTGAAGCGGCGCTGCGAGCAGCTGCGACCCAAAAAGTACCAGAACCGCTCACGGCGCATGCACAATCATGCATCAACACCGCTATTTCCCTAATAACACATGATGTTCGTTTTTATTTCTACACGTTTTTTTTACTCACAAAGATTGTCAAGAAAGCGTGTTTGTCGTGTTCATGTCAAATTAAACTGATCACAAAACACAGATTTACTTTCTTTATTTCGTTTTCCTCATCCAACCCCCATAAATCTCTGTGTGTCCTCCTGCAGCACTCCCGAAGGACAACAGGCACAACAACACAAAAAAGTCTGACGTGTTGAGTAAAAACTGCTATTTTTAGCATATTTTTTAGGTCCGACGTGTTGCTACCAGACGTACAGTGTGAGCAGTCAGATCGCATCCGAGAACTGGGTCGTACAGTGAGAGCGCCTGGCTCGTGAGATCTGCCCTGCGAGGAAGTCGTACAGTTTGAGCTGAAGCTGAGTGCTACGAGTGAAAAAGTCACACAGTGTACGCCCGGCTTTACCGGATTTGAGATGTCCTGACATTTATAATTTATAAAACTAATTAAACAAAAACACAAATAACATAGATTTACATGTAAGGAGTTTAAATAGAGTGCTGTACTGTTTGAATGTATAAACTGAACGCCAATAGAAATCACTAGTCTGATTTTTTATCCGTGAAGAAAATAAATATGTCAGGCAGGAGCGTCTCAGGATCTGTCTGAGATCCGTCTCGGTGAGACAGATAACAGCAATCCAAAGTGCTTTTTATGTGTGATCTGATTAAATACAGCTTAGCCGGTTAATTGCTGTGATCATAAAACACGTAAACGACAGCACGCAGAAATCATGAGGCAATGTTTTACGTGATGTTTACTTGTTGCTATGAGTAATAAGACAGAAAACGCCACGCCAAAATAAGTTTAGGAAGCCCACTAAGAATCGTAATAAAAGCATTTAAAAATAAATACCACACACAGTTGAGGAAACGTTGGTTTAAGTACCTGATATGAAGTGGTCACTGCATAAGCAAAAACCTTTGCTCTCGGGATCCCACAGTTTCATTTTAGCCCGGTCTCTAGTGCGTTTTATTACAATGATCCAACGTTTGCGGCGCTCCGGATCTTGGGGAATCCTGTAGATGGCTCATTCCTTATGTCGTCCCCGTCTGTTCTGCATCCTGGGGCACAACAGGAATCTACCATATTTCCTGTCTGATTGAGTTTTCTGACAATAACGAATAGTCCAGCTGCGGGCTTCTGCCTGCCAAGATGGCGCCGTTTTGATTTGAACTGTTGCATGCCGGGAGAAGTGACGTCAACTCCCGGAGCTCTGTAGGATTCTGTAGCCCCGCCCCCTCTGGAGCTCATGTAGAGTTCTTCAGAGGTTAACCAGGTGACAGTGCTCTAGGACCGATAAGAGTCCTTGCAGATCCCCCCACAGTCCAGAGAACTACTGGTGGTTACCGCAGTGACCTGGATGAGACACTGGCAGCAGCTTTAACATTTCTGTTGATCCTGGTTGTCTTTACTTTTCTTATACATCAAACCTAAACTATGTTGTCAGTCTGAGCCTCGTCTCTCTTTGCTGATTGTGTTTTTTCTGAATTTAAAGTTGAGCTGTGAATGCCCTTGCACCCCATTAAAACGATTGTTTTCATCCAATCAGATGCATTTAAATGCATGTTTAGTGTGACTTCACCATCCATGGAAAATCCATGGAGCTCAGAGCTGCACTCCTCAGTGTCTAGAGTGGATACAAGCTCCACTTCAGTTAGTAGTCCTCTCTGGAGACCTATTGAAATGACAGATGAGTGTGGAGCAGCAGCTGCAGCTCAGCCGGGTATTTTATTTATGATCAGACAATAACACGTTAAACACAGCCTGTGCTTCTAATCAATAATCCAGCCCATAAAGGTTTAATTAGGCTCTGATTTATTTGTGTGAAGCTGTTTTTTTCAGCATCTGGAAGCCCTGTCTTTAGTCTCCGTAAAGGATTTCAGACACAGATTCTTGTTTTATTTCAAATAAATATCCTCAAACTGTTTATTAGAGAGATTTATAGTTTTTATGTGTGCTGAGATGTTCCAGAGCTTCAGTCGGTCCTTTTTCTGACAGCAGAGTCAAATAAAATCAAGTTTGTCTTTAGAGGAAACAGTGAAGGATCCTTGAACCTCCCTGAAGCCACATTTGTGTCTCATGTGGGTAAAAAATCAGAGCCCAGAAACCACCGACAACGTTGGATTTACAGAGTCAACACTGTGGTCGACGTGGTCCTCCAGCTGCTGATGGATGATCCTCCGCTGGGGCCGTTAAACCAGGGAGGTAAACACTACACCGAGTGTCTAAAACTGTCGGAGTTCACAGGTCGCTTCCAGACGACGAGACATGAGCAACCAGAAGATTAAATGAGACGTTTCCCAGAGGAGTTTCCCTGGAAACCAAACGTTTACACAAGATTATCATCCATCTTCTGGGGTTCATTCAGCCTCCGAGAGGGGAGGAAGCCGGGGCATTGGATTATCATAGCAGCACCTGAACACATCACTCATAACCACGTCAGACAATAAAGAAACATCAGTAAAATTTTACAATAATGGTTCGTTTATCAGCATCAAAGTGCATTAATAAACAAAAGGTCCCATTATTAAAGTTCCAGATATTAACTATTAAGTGTCCAGGGATGGGGTGGGGGGGGGTGGGGTGGGGGGGGGGTGTCTGCTTAGTAACGTATTACTTATTATATGGTTAAGCAGTTGTTAATACTTAATTTAATAGTTTATTAATGTCTAATAATGCACTAAGTAATGCTAATAAAGTGACCCTTATTGTAAAGTGTTACCATGACGTCTTTCAAACAGCCTAAAACCTGAATTTAATCAAATTGTTGTTTGCTCCTCCAGAGTCAAGGCAGAACTAACAGATCTGAGTCTGATAAATAAATTAGACCCAAAAGACCAAAAATGGATCAGAACCAAATATTTTAGGTGTTTTTGTTGACAAACAAAAACGTTGGATTTCATTCTAAAATGTTCGAAAAATGTTAAAGGTGTGGATCACTCGTCTAATCTGTGTATTTGCCGTCGTCTCTAGTCGGAATGAATGCCTTGTAAGTCATACACTGGGTACAAAGAGCCCTGGTGGGCCTGTCTCAGGATCTAGAAGATAGAGGAGAGCTTCAGATGGCAGGAGTTGGAGTCTTACTTCCTGATATTTGGTCATCTCATCTCTGATTGGCTAACAGCAACACAACTCTACCACTGACTCTGTTTACTTTCCAACATGGATGTTTCATCAAATAACACAAGCCCAGAGGAGTTTTGCTGTGTGGTGGAGTTACTAATGCTAACAGTTAGCTTCTGCTAGTCGAGACGTTCTCTGCTGTTTGCTGGACGCTAAACCAACAACAGCCTTCCTCATCGTGAGTCAAGATGGGTGAGTCCATGAACGTTGTTCACAGTGTGACGTAGACCTGTCAGGATTTTCTAATCCTAAAGTTTCACCGTCTATTTTCCATCAGAATTTTAATGCAGGAGATACGTGTAGGAGACTATTTTAGTGTTCAGCCAGCATGAAAAACTCAGAGTGACTCATTATAATCAGAAATAACCATTAAAAATATTTTTCAGTTAACCACACCTTTAATGAATGAAATCTAAACTTGAATTTGAATAAATTACTGAACCAAATTTGGTCTAAATAGGAGAAGAAACCCATCCTGGTCTAGCAGATCCATCTGAACACCGACAACACACCAGAAACCAGCAGAAGTCTGATCCTCCTGCTGCTGATCATGAATTCCCTCCTCTAGGAACAAAGGTTACATCATGTGAAAGAACCCAAAACCAGGAAGATTCAGAAGGAACCCGTGTCTGGTTCTGGATCCTAAAACCTGCTGAGATGATTCATCTTCACTCGTCCCGAGCTTCAGTGTTTTCTCACCATGATCGGATGTAACATCTTGGCTGAGCTTCACAAAACAGATCAGAACCACCTGCTGCTGCTCAAAATCTTCTCACGTTCTGATCTGTCCCAAAAGGATTTCTGTATAAACGCTGTTTTCCCACAATGGAGCTGGTTCAGATGTTTAGTTCCATCTGAAGACCAAAAACCTCACGGGTTTAGATTACAGTTCACAAGTTGCTCCCTAAAACATGAATGCTGAGAATATTCCCCAGAAGTTTCTGGTGGGATTAACAGGACGTTCTTACCCATCTCCGTCTCGTAGGGTTTTCCGTTCTCGGGTAGCGGGATCAGCTGTTTGGAGAACACGCTGCTGCCGTATCCCAGGATGTAACCCTCGAGCTTCACATCTGGACTCGGACGCACAAACTTCATGACGATGGTGTCGCCTGTGGCGTTGATCCGAACCTTCATGTTGTGGTGGCGAGCTGACGGACAAAGGGAAGTCAGAATGATCATCACAGAGACCTGGTGTTGCTGATTCTGAACATCTGATGCTCCTTTAGCTGTAATTTGGTTTCACACCGAAGAAACGAGCTCCTGAGGTCGACGGCGGAACATCACAGAACGAGGAGATCCATGAAAGTTTTAAAACAGCTCTTTTCTCTTTTGTTAAAGACAGGAAATGAAAACTGAGGCAGACATTTTTATGGTTTCACCCGAGACGTTTGAGGTTTTATTCTGGAAAACAAACAAGTAAAAACCCTTCGTTTTGTTCTTTATTGTCCCTGAAACTCCATTTGGAGCCTGGATGTTCTCCACGGTGCTGGTCAGGCTGAACGTGATGTTTTATGAGTCTAAGTCTGGGTGTTTTCTCCTGCTTCAGAGTTTCTTCGGCGTTAAACAGAACAAAGGGATCCTGCGAAGGACAAATGTTTGTTTAGCTGATGGAGTTTGTCTCATCAGTCATTACGGCGTGTCCCAGCACCGGTGTTCTGTTCCGTTTGGTCCCATTAGGCTCAGTCGAGTTCAGCAGCGTGTTTGGAGTCCTGCAGCTTTGATTTAATCTAACAGAGGAGGCCCGGGTGGGGGGTGAACATGGAGCACAGCAGAACTCTGCAAACACAAACATTTAAATAAAACAGAGCTAGACTTCCAGCCTGGCCCACGTCGCCCTGCTGCTGCAGATCCAGAACAACAAACTCCATCAGATTAAAGCTAACCAGGACCAGCCTGCTGCTCACAGATGACCAAGTAGTGCTAAAATAATCAGAACCATCCTCCAAGAGCACCACCTGACTGCACACACTCTCGTTTCACCAAGCAGAACCACGATCTTCTGATCGTAGTGAAGCTGATCTTCAGCCCTCCAGGTTTCACCTGCCCTGACCTGAATGGACGGACCAGTCAGAGACCTCCATCATCACCTGCCTCCATCTGAACAAATGTATGCAGCATCTCTTCTCCTCCCCTTCATTGCCTTTCAGGGTAAAACCACCACGTCTGGAAGCCTTTGAGTCTATAAACAAGAGAAAACGCTGTCGGAGCAGCTTTACTCCATTAACTCAAACCGTAAAACAGAGATGGAAACCAAACTCTGTTCCTGAAACAACACAGACTCCTCCGTCTCTAATGAGCTGCTGCTGCTTCTCCCACTTTATCATCTTCTCCAGGAGAGAAACCAGCTCACATTCGGATCTGCAGTCTGTCATCAACAGCTTAGTTCAGGTTACATCTCTTTGCTCTGTTCTGACTTGATGTTTTAGTCTCAGAATTAAAAACTCTATTGTGACCAGATGCAGAACAAGAAGAAGAGAAACTCATAATTAATAAAATATCAATAATGCAACTCTGAACCGAGACAAAAAGGTGAGAAACCAACAAAATTCTACATCTGGCATTCAAATCTCAACAAAAATGGCTCGAAATGGAATAAAGAAAAGAAAGGTAATTCAACTCAGATTTATTCATAGTTAATTACAATAAAAGACAAACCTCTAGAAAATCAGTTGTAAAACATTATTTAGCACCAAGCAAATCCTCTAAAATGTGATGAAGCACAAGCAGAAACCAGTAACATTAATTATGATGAAGTGATTTTGGAGCCAGATGTGGGTCAGCTGCTGCAGGTTTTACTGTGGAACTCGCCTCAATAAAGAACGTCTGTGAAAATGTGTAAATGCTCATTAAAATGGGCTGAACTCGTCCATGGAGGTCCTGATGCTGAGTTTTATTACGGCTGGACTTCAATAACGATATTTTAAATGCTTTATAAAAGCCCACGGAGGTTTTTGACGCCCAGGTTTAGTTTGAAAGTAATTTGTCAAAACAAGATGATTAAAAATAAACAAAAAACGTTACTATTAGTATAACTGTGTATTTATTTGCTTTCCCTCGGACCACCTTAAGAGTTGATTCGTTGGTTTGGTTGATGGCCGGTTAAATGTTGTTAATTCTGTTGGTTGGTTTAGTGACAGATTGGTTAAATAGCTGGTTATTCAGTGGGTTAATTGATTGGTTGGTTACATGGTTAGATGTTTTGTTGGTTGATTAATTGGCTGTTTGGGTATCTGGTTGATGAATTGGTAGATTGGTTAATTGGTTGGTTGGTTATATGGTTAGATGTTTTGCTAGTTTAATAATTGGCTGTTTGGGTAACTGGTTGGTTAATTGGTAGATTGGTTAATTGGCTGTTTGGTGGACTGGTTGATGAATTGGTAGATTGGTTAATTGGTTGGTTGGTTATATGGTTAGATGTTTTGCTAGTTTAATAATTGGCTGTTTGGGTAACTGGTTGGTTAATTGGTAGATTGGTTAATTGGCTGTTTGGTGGACTGGTTGGTTAATTGGTAGATTAGTTAATTGGCTGGTTGGTTATATGGTTAGATGTTTTGCTAGTTTAATAATTGGCTGTTTGGGTAACTGGTTGGTTAATTGGTAGATTGGTTAATTGGCTGGTTGGTCACATGTTAATATTTTGTTGGTTGGTCAGTTGGCTGTTTGATTGACTGGTTGGTTAATTAGTGAGGTGGTCAAATGGTTGTGTTTTGTGGTTTTTTGGGGGGTTGGTTAATTAGCTGTTTGGCAGACCGCTGGGCTGGTTAAATGGTTGGTTTGTTGTAAAGAATCAAAGTATACAACAAGGCAGCTGAAGCTGACTTCCTGGATGATGCTCAGTTATCGTGTGACTCTTTAAAGTTTTAATATTTGACATGTTTCTAGTTGCGGAGCCACCTACAGTCTTGCTGGCTGTGATAAGGTGTTGTTCCCCTTCAGGTCAACTAAAGCGTGGTATGGGGGGGGGGGGGGGGGGGGGGTTAACATCTAAGATGTTGTTGAGAAACTTCTAATAGAAGCCAGAAACAACTTCACATGTCTGACATCTCAGTGTAAACTAAAGGGAACAAATCATTCTAAAGCATTGTCCCTACAGGCCGCTGTGCCAGACCCTTGATTACTGATCAACCACCTGCATTTGTGCGGTGCTTCTCTGAGTCAGAGGACTCCAAAGCGCTTTAGTCTGGTAAACCCTTCACTCATTCACACACATTTACACACTGGTGGTGTGTGTCCTGGGATTCGCTGACAGAGGCGACAGAACCTCATGTCGAACAAACTCCTCATCGTCTCCTCTAACAGTCAGACACGTTGGTGACCACGAGCTTTCTCAGAAAGCTGCTCCTCCAGCAAATTAAAGACAAAAACCAGCTGATTTTCCATCAAACTGGACCTGAGAGGATGATGACTAAAACACAAGAGTCCATTCGTCCAATCAGAGGACACTCTGAACTCAGAACACGTCTTCTAACAATGGATCTAACAGCTGTGTCCTGTTAAAGCCCCCAAAGCTGAAAAAACAACCAAACTGATTACATAATTTTAGTTTTATCGTGAATAAACCCGCTCTGCTCCAGGAGCACATCTAAACACACACTTTGTTTTCACTGGCAGGTTGTCTCCTGGAGAGATTATCCTCCTCGAGTCTCCACGTTTCTGTCTGACACAGGAAGTAATCATCTTACATAACATTTGATAAGACGACTGACTCCGCCCACACCTGCTGGAGCTCCACACCTGCCCACATCCACATGAACCCAGTTTGTTAAACAGCTTCTCCGACTGGAGAGAAGATCAGACCAGAAGCAGCTGCTCAAACATCAGAAAGAAGAGACGTTTTTCCAAATCAGGTTCTGCAGGAACGTCTCACCTCAGGGACCCGGACTTGGATCTGCTCCCGTCTCCTCCTCAGAGACTTTGATTTTTATACCAGTTTGTTGCTTGAGTCCACACCTGAGCTTGTACCCATGACTCATCCACACACACTCTTTTCCTTTCTCACATTTTCTTCCATAGTTTTATTTTTATTTTTTTTTTATTTTTACCAAAATTCCAACATTTTTGGATCATTTTCTTTGTTTTATTTTTGTTTAACTTCGTTTTTCCGGTGTTAGTTTTAGATTTTCCTGCCTTCTTAATGTTAATAATTTACTTCCCTGCAGTTTCCTCCTGACTCGACTCAGGTTCTGGTTCTGGACTTGCCTCTGATCCTCTGTGCAGGGGTGCCGCTGAGTAGAAACGTCCCGCCGAGCAACAGCAGGAGGACGGGGATGCTGGCCATGACCTATGACTTCTCAGAGCTTCCAGGAGATAATAGAGGTGATGAAGACGAGGATGAGGAGTAACCAGGAGCTGGACAACTTCGCTAAGTTTCTTAGGACTTGTGCAGCTGTGGGACGTCCTCGATGTGGAGGGGGGTCCCCTCGGACGTCTCCATCTATAAGCCCAGCAGGTGGGTGGGGCCTGGCAGGTGGGTGGAGCCTGGCCCCCTCCCTCAGCAGAATATCTGGATTCCCAACATAAGCTTTTTTATTCTTCATCCTGGGCACCTCCTCCTACTTTAATCTGCTTTGTTCTGATCCAGTTTCCCTGCAGGACGTTTTGTTCATGCAGAGTTTCCAGCAGAGATCAAATTGGACCTGAAAGAAACACAAACAGATCCAGACACGGAGGTTCTGTTTACAGACGGGTTCTTATTAGGATGATCAATCAGTAAATCAAATTATGTGTGTGTGTGTGTGTGTGTGTGTGTGTGTGTGTGTGTGTGTGTGTGTGTGTGTGTGTGTGTGTGCGTGTGCGTGTGCGTGTGTGTGTGTGTGTGTGTGTGTGTGTGTGTGTGTGTGTGTGTGTGAGTTAGTTCAGTTTGTCTCACATGATTTATTTGTTGACATGTGATCACATTAACATGCAGATCCGACGTTCTTTCTGCAGCTTTTTTAATTTCTTTGACAGTTTTTTTCTGGTTCTACCTGCAGAAGCTCCGCCCACATGACATCAGTGACCTATTATTGAAAACAACAATAGAGAGGGTTTCATCCAGGACCTGATTTCTTTAGTCTTCTGGCCCCACAGACCCCCAGCGTGCTGCCTTCTGTGATCATTGGGTCTGGTCTGACTCAGCGTGAACTTGTTGAGCAGATTAAATTCAGACTCTGGACACGTGTCTCTGTGATGTGACTTTATCAACGTTGAAGGATCCGACTGGACCAGCGGCAGCTCGAGGAGTTCTGGCCGGGCCCCACTTCCAGTCCAACGCGATCTTCATGTGATGTTAATTAAAAAATGTCTGCCGCACAAACACGAAGCATGATGGGCGAGCACACCCGCCTGCTCCACACGTGCAGGCTGGGAGCAGACACCGAGCCAAAACCACCGACACGTTTCCTCAGAGTCTGACAAACTGGGAGTTGGAATGAAGAAATGATGGGGAGGAGGAGGAGGTCTGGGGGAAAAAATCCAAATGTTGGCTCATGACTCTGGGTGTATGGATCCAACACGTGGCATCACACGTGTGACAGGATGGAGACCGCCAAACACCAAACAGCAGCCGAAGCAGAAATAGGAAATATTCATGTTGTAACAGCAGCAATAAAAATGATGAAGGGCGAATGACATGAAGGGACACGGTTAAAGCAAGACCAGAGAGAGAGTTCAATTAAAGCATCAAACTCCTGTCAGAGAAAATAATCTGAAGATGAAAAAGTTCAAATATAAATCAGTTTGTTCAGCCTGCAGCACCAGACCAGAACCCACTGGGGGTTTGGTGTTAACGTTCAGCTTCATCCTCCCGTCTGCACCTTCTCAGCTTCACCAGCTAACAGCATCAGGTCGGAGGAGACACGCCCACAAAGGCCAGCAGGCTGGACCAAGTAGCATTCATTCATGTCTGCTCAGACTGCAGCAGAGGTGGACCGAGTCACCTTCGCGTCTGCTCAGACTGTAGCAGAGGTGGACCGAGTTACAGCCGCGTCTGCTCAGACTGCAGCAGAGGTGGACCGAGTCACAGCCAAGTCTGCTCAGACTGCAGCAGAGGTGGACCGAGTCACCTTCGCGTCTGCTCAGACTGCAGCAGAGGTGGACCGAGTCACCTTCGCGTCTGCTCAGACTGTAGCAGAGGTGGACCGAGTTACAGCCGCGTCTGCTCAGACTGCAGCAGAGGTGGACCGAGTTACAGCCGCGTCTGCTCAGACTGCAGCAAAGGTGGACCGAGTCACAGCCACGTCTGCTCAGACTGCAGCAGAGGTGGACCGAGTCACCTTTGCATCTGCTCAGACTGCAGCAGAGGTGGACCGAGTTACAGCCGCGTCTGCTCAGACTGCAGCAAAGGTGGACCGAGTCACAGCCGCGTCTGCTCAGACTGCAGCAGAGGTGGACCGAGTCACCTTCGCGTCTGCTCAGACTGTAGCAGAGGTGGACCGAGTCACAGCCACGTCTGCTCAGACTGCAGCAGAGGTGGACCGAGTCACCTTTGCATCTGCTCAGACTGCAGCAAAGGTGGACCGAGTCACAGCCGCGTCTGCTCAGACTGCAGCAGAGGTGGACCGAGTCACCTTCGCGTCTGCTCAGACTGCAGCAGAGGTGGACCGAGTCACAGCCGCGTCTGCTCAGACTGCAGCAGAGGTGGACCGAGTCACCTTCGTGTCTGCTCAGACTGCAGCAGAGGTGGACCGAGTTACAGCCGCGTCTGCTCAGACTGCAGCAGAGGTGGACCGAGTCACCTTTGCATCTGCTCAGACTGCAGCAGAGGTGGACCGAGTTACAGCCACGTCTGCTCAGACTGCAGCAAAGGTGGACCGAGTCACAGCCGCGTCTGCTCAGACTGCAGCAGAGGTGGACCGAGTCACCTTCGCGTCTGCTCAGACTGTAGCAGAGGTGGACCGAGTCACAGCCACGTCTGCTCAGACTGCAGCAGAGGTGGACCGAGTCACCTTTGCATCTGCTCAGACTGCAGCAGAGGTGGACCGAGTCACAGCCGCGTCTGCTCAGACTGCAGCAAAGGTGGACCGAGTCACAGCCGCGTCTGCTCAGACTGCAGCAGAGGTGGACCGAGTCACAGCCGCATCTGCTCAGACTGCAGCAGAGGTGGACTGAGTCACAGCCGCGTCTGCTCAGACTGCAGCAGAGGTGGACCGAGTCACCTTTGCGTCTGCTCAGACTGTAGCAGAGGTGGACCGAGTCACCTTCGCGTCTGCTCAGACTGCAGCAGAGGTGGACCGAGTCACAGCCGCGTCTGCTCAGACTGCAGCAGAGGTGGACCGAGTCACCTTTGCGTCTGCTCAGACTGTAGCAGAGGTGGACCGAGTCACCTTCGCGTCTGCTCAGACTGCAGCAGAGGTGGACCGAGTCACAGCCGCGTCTGCTCAGACTGCAGCAGAGGTGGACCGAGTTACCTTTGCTTCTGCTCAGACTGCAGCAGAGGTGGACCGAGTCACAGCCACGTCTGCTCAGACTGCAGCAGAGGTGGACCGAGTCACAGCCACGTCTGCTCAGACTGCAGCAGAGGTGGACCGAGTCACCTTTGCGTCTGCTCAGACTGTAGCAGAGGTGGACCGAGTAATCGTTTTGCAATTCTCAAGTAAGTTTCAAGTCGTTATCTTCACATCCCAAGTCAAGTGTCAAGTCTGATAAATTAAACTTTAAATAATTTTTTAAAGCAGCTTTGTACATTCATCTAGCCAATTTTTCATCATTTTGTTCTGATGGCACAATAAGATTCATGTCTCACGATTAACCTGCACATATCAGACACCTACGAACGAACTCTCAACAAGTAAACATCTCTGAGGTCCTTTCCAGACATTACATACAAAAGCATTGTTGCACTTCACCAAAAGCTCGGTCTGCTGGAGACAATAAAAACAACCAACAATCCAGAGTTAATTAGCTGCCTGTTATTCTTGGAAGCTCTTGGAAAACAGGATTTAAACTAGCATAAATGCTAAAGCCAGCCACGATTATAAACGTTGTCCTGAGAACATGTTCTCACACACGTCTCTGTTTGCCTCACATGACTTTAACGTGTGTGTGTGTGAGGTGGTGGTGGGTGGGTGGTGTTGGGGGGGGGGGGGGGGGTGTGCCATTGAAGCTTTGTTATAGCCTGATTAATTAGTGCCCCCCAGCCCCACAGTGCAGAATGTCCTCTTGTGATTCTCTGAGCTTCATTTTCGCCTTCTTGTGTGGTGGTTGCTATTAGCTCCAGTCACCCTGCTCCAGGGTGTGTGTGTGTGTGTGTGTGTGTGTGTGTGTGTGTGTGTGTGTGTGGGTGTGGGGTGTGTGTGTGTGTGTGTGTGTGGGGGGGGGGGGGTGTTCCCAGAATACAGATGAGGTATGTTCTCCACAGGTAATACTTTATCGCACACCACACAGATCAGGTGAGGATGATCCGGGTGGATAAGACACAGTTTAAAAATTCTGTTCGCTAGTGGAAATGTCTTCGGACATTCCTGAGAAATTCCTGAAATGTTCAAACATCAGGACCTCCTGGAGGTTTCTGAAGCCATGTTTGTTTTTACACTTTGATTCTGACTCGTCTGTGACGTCCTGACTTGTTTTCCTCTCTGCTGGTTTCCAGTCTGTGAGCAGAGATATGAATGCAGCAGGTAAACTAAATCATGCATGAGTGAAGAGATGAACCTGCGTTGATCTTCTGGAGCATAATTGTTTCTGTTGTTAAAGCTTCTGACAGCTGCGACCAGCGGGTTTAGACACGTTGCAGCCAACGCTCCAGGCTATGAAAGCTCAGCTTCTTCTCCTCTTTCTGTCCTTTTTTTCTTCTTTGTTTTTGAACCCATAAAGTTTGTTTTTGGCTGAAATCAGCCAAGCAGCTCCATGCCTCGTCCTCTTAAACTCCAACACTCCCACATCAAACGGCAGTGAAGCTCGACAGGCTCAAACTAATTATAAAAACACCACTATTACCAACAGACTCGCAGCCTGGAGCACAAAGTTCCCACTGAACTCTGCTAATAAGGCTAACGAGGCCCAGCAGGTGACTGTGATCTTACGGCTAAATAGCAATCAGGAACAACAGAAAACAAGTTCGTTTACTCGTGTAAATAAGCTTTAAGGACTTGTTTAAACCCTGATTTTTATCACCTGGATTACTGATAATATAGATAATGACAATAATAAGAGTTTATGTTGCCTCCCAGTTACAAAATGATTAAAAAGACAATAAAAACGCTGATAAATATAAAACATTCAGGTTCTTTGGTGTGTTCTTACTGTGTCTAGTTTCTAATTCCATTTTTGGTTCTTTTTTAAACACAGAAAATGTTTCTCTTCACCTTGCTGACGTTTCGTTAGCGGCTGCAAACATCCTCAGAGCTGAGGCTGATGGAAGCTTTGTGCAGGGTGTGTGTGTGTGTTTTTGTGGGTGGGTGGGGGTGGGGGGGGGGGG